AATCAATTAAATAGAGAATATATGAACATAGTTGACGAAATTCAAACAATTCCAGGTGTGAGACGACAGCAATTGATCAGAGGATAACATGTAATATATAAAATAAAAACTCTTTTAATCTATCCCAATAAACACACTATATATTAAATTTATCCTAATTTTTACTACTGTTACAAGTAATTAATATTGGCCAAAAAAAAAATCAATTATTTTTTATATATTTATCTGTTTTTAAACTGTTAATATATTAAAAATTAAGAAATATTTTTATTTTTTTCTTATTATAAAATAACAAAAAATAAATTTAAGAAATCTGTTATATTCTGTTAGAATTCTCGACTTTAATTTTTGGGTCTTAAAATTAACTCGATTTTAAAGAAAATTATTAGCAGGATAAAATTATTACAATCGCAAACAACAATCACACAAAAACAATCAACAAAACATCAAAACCACACAATAATACAATCACAAACACAAAGAACAAACTTGTACAATCACACAAAGAAACAATCACACAAAGAAAACAATCACACAAAGAAACAATCAAAACACAAAGAAACAATCACACAAAGAAAATCAAAGAAACAATCACACAAAGAAACAATCACACAAAGAAACAATCACACAAAGAATCAAAGAAACAACACAACAAAGAAACAATCACACAAAGAATCAAAGAAACAATCACACAAAGAAACAATCACACAAAGAATCAAAGAAACAATCACACAAAGAAACAATCAGACAAAGAAACAATCAGACAAAGAAACAATCACACAAAGAAACAATCACACAAAGAAACAATCAGACAAAGAAACAATCACACAAAGAAACAATCACACAAAGAATCAAAGAAACAATCACACAAAGAAACAATCACACAAAGAATCAAAGAAACAATCACACAAAGAAACAATCACACAAAGAATCACGCAAAGAAACAATCACACAAAGAAACAATCACACAAAGTAACAATCACACAAAGAAACAATCACACAAAGAAACAATCACACAAAGAAACAATCACAACAAAGAAACAATCACACAAAGAAACAATCACACAAAGAAACAATCACACAAAGAAACAATCACACAAAGAAACAATCACACAAAGAAACAATCACACAAAGAAACAATTACACAAAGAAACAATCACAACAAAGAAACAATCAAAGAAACAATCACACAAAGAAACAATCACACAAAGAAACAATCACACAAAGAATCAAAGAAACAATCACACAAAGAAACAATCACACAAAGAAACAATCACACAAAGAAACAATCAACAAAGAATACACACAAAGAAACAATCACACAAGAAACAATCAGACAAAGAAACAATCACACAAAGAAACAATCACACAAAGAAACAATCACACAAAGAAACACAATCACCAAAGAAACAATCACACAAAGAAACAATCACGACAAAGAAACAATCACACAAAGAAACAATCACACAAAGAAACAATCACACAAAGAATCACAAAGAAACACACAAAGAAAACAATCACACAAAGAAACAATCACACAAAGAAACAATCAGACAAAGAAACAATCACACAAAGAAACAATCACACAAAGAAACAATCAGACAAAGAAACAATCACAAAGAAACAATCACACTAAGAAACAATCACACAAAGAAACAAAGAAAACAATCACACAAAGAAGCAAAAGAAACAATCACACAAAGAAACAATCAAAGAAACAATCACAACAAAGAATCAACAATCAAAGAAACAATCACACAAAGAACACACAACACACAAAAGAAACAATCACACAAAGAAACAATCACACAAAGAAACAATCACACAAAGAAACAATCAGAAACAAAGAAACAATCACAAACAAAGAAACAATCACACAAAGAAACAATACAATCAACAAAGAAACAAAGAAACAATCACACAAAGAAGACAAAGAAACAATCACACAAAGAAACAATCAAAGAAACAATCACACAAAGAACAAAGAAACAATCACACAAAGAAACAAAGAAACAATCACACAAAGAAACAAAGAAACAATCACACAAAGAAACAAAGAAACAATCCACAAAGAAACAATCAAAAAGAAACAATCACACAAAGAAACACAAGAAACAATCACAACAAGAAACAAAGAAACAATCAACAAAAACAAAAACAATCAACAACAAGAATACACAATCATACACAGAAACAAATCATACAATCACACAAAGAAACAATCACACAAGCAATCATACACATCACACAAAGAAACAATCAACAAAGAAACAATCACACAAAGAAACAATCAGACAAAGAAACAATCACACACAAGAAACAATCAACACAAAGAAACAATCACACACAAAAACAATCACACAAGCAATCAACATTCGACAAGAAACAATCAGACAAAAACAATCACACACAAAGAAACAATCACACAAAGAACAATCACACAAAGAAACAATCAAAGAAACAATCAGACAAAAGAAACAATCACACTAAGAAACAATCCACACACATCATACAATCACAATCACACAGAAACAATCATACAATCACACAGAAACAATCATACAATCACACACAGAAACAATCATACAATCACACACAGAAACAATCATACAATCATACAATCACAATCACACAGAAACAATCATACAATCACACAAACAATCATACAATCACACAGAAACAATCATAGTCACTCACAGAAACAATCATACAATCACAACACAAACACACAGAAACAATCATACAATCACAATCACACACAATCAATACAATCACACACAAACACACAGAAACAATCATACAATCACAATCACACACAGAAAACAATCATACAATCACACACAAACAATCATACAATCACACACAAACACAGAAACAATCATACAATCACACACAAACAATGACACAAAGAAACAACCATACCAAATCATACAATCACACAAAGAAACAATCACACAAACATACAATCACACACTGGTCTTAACTATAATAAATTAGGCTTGTTATGTCTCGGCGGAAGTTGCCTATTAAACCAAGATCAAACAATTATCTTCAATAAAACCAAAACTTTCGTTTATTTCAATAAATTTTATTTAAAACCCGACAGTTAATAATTAAAAAAATTACTTATTATACATTAACAAATTAAATTAATTTATTAAAAAAATAAATAAATTAAGTCAGTTACCACTCAAAATGGCTGGCCAGGGCTACCAACAGGATTTTACGAATCTAAATAATTAGATTCGTAATATATATTTATAATATTCAAACTATGTTATGTTGGTATTGTTTTTTGGTCAGTTTGATTTTTATATAACAATAATTAGGAAAATATTTTTAAATAAGTGGAATTTATATATATTTTAATTATTAAATGTGAAGATTTTTTTTTGTTGGTAAGTCGCCCTTTTAATAATAATAATAATAATAATAATAATAATAATAATAATAATAATAATAATAATAATAAATGACATTAATTAATTTTTACATAAATACACTGTTGTATAATCGTGGCAGGAGAGTGGTTGAGCCTCAGCTCCTGGTCCCTGCTAGACCATTCTAATTTGTGGTTGAACTCTAGCAGCAAGTTCCTGTGGTTCAGCACTATGGTATTGAACGTCCGTGGAGGTGTACATGTGTACGTTCCACCGTGTGTGCGTGCGTCCGTGTACGTCTGTAACTGTACTCACCTAATTGTGGTTGCAGGGGTCGAGACTCAGCTCCTGGACCTGCTTGTTACTGTGCTTGTTACCGTGTGTGTCCGTGTACGTCCGTGTTGGTGTGAGAACGTACATGTGTATAGGGGTGTTCCGTGCACGTGTACGTCCGTGTACGTCTGTAACTGTGCTTGTTACCGTGTGCGTCCGTGTTGGTGTGAGAACGTACATGTGTATGGGGGTGTTCCGTGCACGTGTACGTCCGTGTACGTCTGTAACTGTGCTTGTTACCGTGTGCGTCCGTGTTGGTGTGAGAACGTACATGTGTATGGGGGTGTTCCGTGCACGTGTACGTCCGTGTACGTCTGTAACTGGTTTTTACCGTGTGCGTCCGTGTAGGTGTGAGAACGTACACGTGTATGGGGTGTTACGTGTGCGTCCGTGTACCTCTGTAACTGTGTTACCGTGTATGTCCGTGTAGGTGTGAGAACGTACACGTGTATGGGGGTGTTCCGCGTACGTGTGCGTCCGTGTACCTCTGTAACTGTGTTACCGTGTATGTCCGTGTAGGTGTGAGAACGTACACGTGTATGGGGGCGTTCCCTGTACGTGTGCGTCCGTGTGCTATTTCCCGTGTGCATATGTGCGTCCACGTACACACACGTCCATGTACGTGCGTCTGCATCAACGCACACGTTCCCATGTGCGTGAAACACCCTTATACACGTACATACGTGTGCACGGACGCACGTACAACCGTATTAATCCACAAAAAATCACAATAATTAAAGAATTAACCGAATTACCTTAGAAAATAAGCCGTATTTAAAATTTTTATAGAGAGGATTTTTCTTACATATTTGTGAAAAATGGCTTATTTTAGCTCTTTTTTAGTGGTTTAACATGTTAATTAAGGTTAATTATAGGTTAAAAATGGGGTTTGAGGTGTGATATATGGGTTAATGGGGTTAAATAAGGCGAAAATACACCATTTGTGAAAAATAGCATATTTTAGCCTTTTTTGGGTAGTGTTTGGTGTTGATTATGGTTAATTATGAGGTTAAAATAGGTTAAATGAGATGATATATGGGTTAAAATGGTTAAATAAGGTTAAAATATGTAATTATTAGTACATTTATGACGTTTTAACTGACTGTTGTTTATATTGGGCGTGCACAAAGTAGTCCCTCACATCGCCTTAATTACCTCATTAAATACGCAAATTACCTGATTTTGGGGGTGACCTATGGGTAAAATTACCACTCATCAGGGTATATGGGGTACAAAAGGGTAAATAGGACACCCACGGGGGTCAAAAAATGTGAAATAAGAAGGTGATAGTTGGCGGAGGGATACACAAGATGGCGGCAGTTGTAAAGTGGCGTCGACAACGGAGAGTTGTTCGGTCTCGCAATGCTCATATTTTGACCCCTTGGCGGCCGTCCTCTCGCCATAACGTCCCTCTGGAGACACCTTTGGGTCGCTAGGGAGACGCGTCCCACCGGACACCTGAGATAAAGGCACCTGGGGGTTAATTAAAGGCGCCGCTGCTCCAGGTAAACTTTTGTTTTGGGTGGGATGGGCTGGGCCGCCTACACTGGTTTATTTTACTGGTTTATCTACCTTATTCTGGGTTTATAAGCGTCGTTTGTGGGTTTGTTGGCATCCTGGTGGCTGGGGTTAAACCCGCCGGGGGTTATTGATGAGTGTCGTTGCTTTATTGTACTGGTTTATTTTACTGGTTTATTAACCTTATTCTGGGTTTATAAGCCTCGTTTGTGGGTTTGTTGGTATCCTGGTGGCTAGGGTTAAACCCACCGGGGGTTATTGATGAGTGTCGTTGCTTTATTGTACTGGTTTATTTTACTGGTTTATCTACCTTATTCTGGGTTTATAAGCCTCGTTTGTGGGTTTGTTGGTATCCTGGTGACTGGGGTTAAACCCACCGGGGGTTATTGATGAGTGTCGTTGCTTTATTTTACTGGTTTAGTCACCCGTCTTGTGGGTTTATTTCCCCTGTTAGTGGGTTTATTATGATCTTGGTGGATGGGGTTAAACCCCCCCGGGGGGTTTAAGAAGCGTCGCTATCTAAAATTAATTTTTGGGGATCTCGTACACTGGTTTGTTTTACTGGTTTATCATCCTTATTCTGGGTTTATTAGCCTTATTTGGGGGTTTATTGCCATTAAGCATCGCTGCTTAAAATGATTTATTTCGAATTGCCAACACCATTTTATTTTACTGGTTTATCACCCTTACCGTGGGTTTATTCACCTTATTAATGGGTTTATTTCCCTCTTGGTAGCTGGGGTAACACCCCCTGGGGGTAATTTAGAAGCATCTCTGCTTAAAATAGAATTTTTTGGATCTACAATTTATTTAAATGGTTTATCACCCTTCTCATGGGTTTATTCCTCCAATTAATGGGTTTATTCCCCCAATTAATGGGTTTATTCCCCCAATTAATGGGTTTATTTCCATCCAAGTAGCTGGGACAAACCCTGAGGGAAATTCAGAATCATCGCTAATGTGGAATTTTTTACGAATGGGCCGCCATTAATTATTAATTTTCTTGTATTTATTCCACCTGGGTTTATTTTTACTGTGACTGATGAAATAAACCCGTCTGGGGAAAATTGAGGCGTTGCTGCCCCCGTTGAGACTTTAAAGGGGGGCGAGTTTATTTTCTATAACGAGTTTATTTTCTCTTCCGAGTTTTTCTATTTATTTCGAGTTTATTTTCTATTCCGAGTTTATTTTCTATTTATTTCGAGTTTATTTTCTATTCCGAGTTTATTTTCTATTTATTCCGAGTTTATTTTCTATTTATTCCGAGTATTTTCTATTTATTCCGAGTTTATTTTCTATTTATTCCGAGTTTTTCTCTTCCGAGTTTATTTTCTATTCTGAGTTTATTTTCTATTCCGAGTTTATTTTCTATTCCGAGTTTATTTTCTATTCCGAGTTTATTTTCTACTCCGAGTTTATTTTCTATTTATTCCCATGCTTGATTGCACTTCCGAATTTTTCTCTTATCAAACTAACGGTGGATTTAAAACCCTCGTTAAACCCCCCATAAATTACACACTTGCAAATTTTTTACTAGAATTTTGATGGGGGAAAACGTTAAAAATTCCTGTTATTTCCGGCGGTACATAAACCGGAAGTAAACACCGGAAATGGGTAGAAATACAGAGGAATAAATTTATTCGGGATTAAAGTTTGTCGAACCTGTTTTTAAAATATTTCTGCTTTATTTTTGGGGGGGTTTATGACTGGTTGCTGTCACCTGTCTGTCACTGGTTGCTGTCACTTGTCTGTCACTGGTGGCTGTCACCTGTCTGTCACTGGTTGCTGTCACTTGTCTGTCACTGGTTGCTGTCACCTGTCTGTCACTGGTTGCTGTCACCTGTCTGTCACTGGTTGCTGTCACCTGTCTGTCACTGGTTGCTGTCACCTGTCTTACACTGGTTACTGTCACCTGTCTGTCACTGGTTGCTGTCACCTGTCTTTCACTGGTGGCTGTCACCTGTCTGTCACTGGTTACTGTCACCTGTCTGTCACTGGTTACTGTCACCTGTCTGGCACTGGTTGCTGTCACCTGTCTGTCACTGGTTGCTGTCACCTGTCTGTCACTGGTTGCTGTCACCTGTCTGTCACTGGTTGCTGTCACCTGCTGGCCTGGTTGCTGTCACCTGTCTGTCACTGGTTACTGTCACCTGTCTGTCACTGGTTGCTGTCACCTGTCTGTCACTGGTTGCTGTCACCTGTCTGTCACTGGTTGCTGTCACTTGTCTGTCACTGGTTGCTGTCACCTGTCTGTCACTGGTTACTGTCACCTGTCTGTCACTGGTTGCTGTCACCTGTCTGTCACTGGTTGCTGTCACCTGTCTGACTGGTTGCTGTCACCTGTCTGCACTGGTTGCTGTCACCTGTCTGTCACTGGTTGCTGTACCTGTCTGGCACTGGTTGCTGTCACCTGTCTGTCACTGGTTGCTGTCACCTGTCAGTCACTGGTTGCTGTCACCTGTCTGTCACTGGTTGCTGTCACTTGTCTGTCACTGGTTGCTGTCACCTGTCTGTCACTGGTTACTGTCACCTGTCTGTCACTGGTTGCTGTCACCTGTCTGTTACTGGTTGCTGTCACCTGTCACTGGTTACTGTCACCTGTCTGTCACTGGTTACTATCACCTGTCTGTCACTGGTTGCTGTCACCTGTCACTGGTTACTGTCACCTGTCTGTCACTGGTTACTATCACCTGTCTGTCACTGGTTGCTGTCACCTGTCACTGGTTACTGTCACCTGTCTGTCACTGGTTACTGTTGCCTGTCTGTCACCTGCCTGTCACTGGTTGCTGTCACCTGCCTGTCACTGGTTACTGTCACCTGTCTGTCACTGGTTACTGTCACCTGTCTGTCACTGGTTGCTGTCACTTGTCTGTTACTGGTTGCTGTCACCTGTCTGTCACTGGTTGCTGTCACCTGTCTGTCACTGGTTACTGTCACCTGTCTGTCACTGGTTGCTGTCACCTGTCTGTCACTGGTTACTGTCACCTGTCTGTCACTGGTTACTGTTGCCTGTCTGTCACTGGTTACTGTCACCTGTCTCACTGGTTGCTGTCACTGGTTTCTGTCATCTGTCACTGGTTACTGTCATCTGTTTGTCACTGGTTACTGTCACCTGTCTGTCACTGGTTACTGTCACCTGTGTCACTGGTTACTGTCACCTGTCTGTCACGGGTTACTGTCACCTGTCTGTCACTGGTTACTGTCATCTGTTACTGGTTACTGTCACCTGTCTCACTGGTTGCTGTCATCTGTCACTGGTTACTGTCACCTGTCACTGGTTGCTGTCACTGGTTACTGTCACCTGTCTGTCACTGGTTACTGTCACCTGTCACTGGTTACTGTCACCTGTCTGTCACTGGTTACTGTCACCTGTCTGTCACTGGTTACTGTCACCTGTCTGTCACTGGTTACTGTCACCTGTCACTGGTTCCTGCCACCTGTCTGTCACTGGTTCCTGCCACCTGTCACTGTTCTGCACTGTCACTGGTCCTGCCACCTGTCTGTCACTGGTTCTGTCACCTGTGTCACTTGTTGCTGTCACCTGTTACTAGTTACTGTCATCTGTCACCTGTCTGTCACTGGTTACTGTCACCTGTCACTGGTTACTGTCACCTGTCACTGGTTACTGTCACCTGTCTGTCACTGGTTGCTGTCACCTGTCTGTCACTGGTTGCTGTCACCTGTCTGTCACTGGTTGCTGTCACCTGTCACTGGTTGCTGTCACCTGTCACTGGTTACTGTCACCTGTCTCACTGGTTACTGTCACCTGTCTGTCACTGGTTGCTGTCACCTGTCTGTCACTGGTTGCTGTCACTGGTTGCTGCTACCTGTCTGTCACTGGTTGCTGCCACCTGTCTGTCACTGGTTACTGTCACCTTTCTGTCTGGTTACTGTCACCTGTCACTGGTTACTGTCACCTGTCTGTCACTGGTTGCTGTCACCTGTCACTGGTTGCTGTCACTGGTTGCTGCTACCTGTCTGTCACTGGTTACTGTCACCTGTCTGTCACTGGTTACTGTCACCTGTCTGTCACTGGTTACTGTCACCTGTCACTGGTTCCTGCCACCTGTCTGTCACTGGTTCCTGCCACCTGTCTGTCACTGGTTGCTGTCACCTGTGTCACTTGTTGCTGTGACCTGTTACTAGTTAGTCACCTGTCACTGGTTACTGTCACCTGTCTGTCGCTGGTTACTGTCACCTGTCTGTCGCTGGTTACTGTCACCTGTCTGTTGCTGGTTACTGTCACCTGTCTGTCACTGGTTACTGTCACCTGTCTGTCGCTGGTTACTGTCACCTGTCTGTCGCTGGTTACTGTCACCTGTCTGTCGCTGGTTACTGTCACCTGTCTGTCGCGGTTACTGTCACCTGTCGTCGCTGGTTACTGTCACCTGTCGTCGCTGGTTCTGTCACCTGTCAGTCACTGGTTGCTGTCACCTGTCAGTCACTGGTTGCTGTCACCTGTCACTGGTTACTGTCACCTGTCTGTCACTGGTTACTGTCACCTGTCACTGGTTCCTGCCACCTGTCTGTCACTTGTTGCTGTGACCTGTTACTGGTTATGACTGTCACTCTGTCTCACTGTTGCTGTCACCTGTCTGTCACTGGTTGCTGTCACCTGTCTGTCACTGGTTGCTGTCACCTGTCACTGGTTACTGTCACCTGTCACTGGTTACTGTCACCTGTCTGTCACTGGTTGCTGCTACCTGTCTGTCACTGGTTGCTGCCACCTGTCTGTCACTGGTTGCTGCCACCTGCCCGTCAGTCTGGTGGCTGTCGCCTGCCCGTCAGTCTGGTGGCTGTCGCCTGCCCGTCAGTCTGGTGGCTGTCGCCTGCCCGTCAGTCTGGTGGCTGTCGCCTGCCCATCAGTCTGGTGGCTGTCGCCTGCCCGTCAGTCTGGTGGCTGTCGCCTGCCCGTCAGTCTGGTGGCTGTCGCCTGCCCGTCAGTCTGGTGGCTGTCGCCTGCCCGTCAGTCTGGTGGCTGTCGCCT